GGAAGCGGCAGCTGAAGCCCGGGGTAGCTGTGGTTTGGAAGCGGCAGCTGAAGCCCGGGGTAGCTGTGGTTTGGAAGCGGCAGCTGGAACCGGACAATTTTTATTTTCTTTGAAAAGTTTGGCAAACATGCTTATTGTTACTCTTTATGTATATCTGATTAATTCCATCAAACATCAGATAAAGGTGCTTCATAATAATCTCACCATAACTGAAGGGGCTTTTCACAAATTAAATGATCCATCTGGAAGAGCACGACTCACAGAATTGAATTCTTTGAAAGGAATTGGAAAATCTCTGTGGAACCATTTAGGAAAGAACAGGCATTTGTTTGTGATATGTATGTTGCAGTTGTGAGTGAGGTGAGATATTGTGGACAAAACATAGCTGTCAAGCCAAAAGGGCTTGCTGATGTAATTTTGATCATTTGACAGGTAATTTGTTCGGCAAAAAATTGCATGTCAAAAGAAAATGCAGACATCAAATTCTCATCAAACATTTGATTTGATGTACTTCACCAACCAATTGCCAGATTGTTCCTGAAACCTGTTTTTGTAATTAGTTAGAAGTTTTGTTAAGGTTTTGTTTTTGATCATTTATGACGCGTGTTAATTCCACTTGATGCTTGTCCTGCCTTGTTTTGAACTGAGCCTCAGTAAAACTTTGATTTTTGCAACTTTATTCTCTGGTCTGTTATCTTTGCACTTGAGTCGTACTCTGATCATCACAATTCCGAATCTTCTGGAGGTATTGAAAATAATCACAACAGAGGTATTAAAAGTTATTACCAAAGTCAAACCGCTTTAAGGATCTCTAAAAGAAATGTGTGCTTGATTGTGTCAAAGGACTCATAAAAGATCAAAAACTAAATAACAGCCTTAGACTTAACTGGATCTGCATAATCCATCAGATCTAAGATGAGTGTTATGTTACACTCAATATGTTGGTTTTTCATAAATCCTGTTTGAGTTTCAGCAATAATAGGATCTAGCCCTTTCCTTTATCCGTTTAAACATCAAGGCCAAAATCTTCCAATCTCTTGTTAAAAGAGTGATAGGATGCCAAGTTCCTACTAATAAAGGGTCTTTATCGTGTTTGGGGATGACATACTGTATATAGTGTGAATGTGTCACAGTGGCTGGGACAAGGCTGTCCCATTTCGAAGACTTCTTCAAATGCAGCCTTCTTTTCCCAGATTTGGATTTTGTTTTAAATCTTGTGTCCACAAGTAGATCAGCAGCAGAAGATGTGGCAGATTAATACACTTTTAAATGCAAGTATTGGGTTTCAACTCACTGAAATAGCTAATGATCCAAATGTTAAAAAACAAGGAACCTTATAACATATTTGTGTTAAAATATGCTAGGTTTTTAGACTTTAGAAACTGACAAGGTTCTTGGAGCCACTGCACTATTTACAGCAGCTCGGCTGCCTGCATCCAACCTTAGTTACAGTAAAGTAAAACTTTAGGAGGTTGACTTATATGTTATGGAGATTGTGGTGATTGTATAGATAATTTATACTTCATATTATGAACATAAATGGACCAAAGTGGTATAGTGGTGTAGACAGGTTGTGAACCTGAAATATCACTTTCAAAGTCCAGTGTAAACGATGGGGTTGACAACACGGCTAACCTCAACTTGGGTATTTTGCAACTTAAGCTGCTTTTGTTTGGTGTTGTGAACCAAACTAACTCTACATGTTATTATCTTTTAGGGAAAAAGGAGCATACGGCTCAGTTGATCAAACTGAGGGGGGGCTGATGATGGCCTCTTCAAAAATTCTTCCAGCGTAGCCTGGAAGTAAGCCATTAGTCAATTTGTAATATCGCCATTTGGCCTTTGCTCTTGTACTTAAGGTTACAGTTATATTAGCCCTCTTCGTGTAAAAGGCCTTTACAAATACGACAACCAGTAGATGGGGGCAACACTCTTTTTCTTTGTGTTTTTTAGTGCTGTCACAGGAATGCAAGCTATGACTGTCACCTTTTTCTTTTTTAAACCCAAAATAGGGCATCCAAGTAAGTGATTTCTGCTGTTTCTGCTTTTCTAATCTTCTAGGTTTGCATCCTTGTGTTAAAATTATCGATAGTTGTTTCCCTGTTCATCATTATCTCAATGTGATAAAAACTATTTTGGAGAAAATGGGCTTGCAGGGGGAAATAAGTATAAAGTATGGGCATGTGTGTTACTACAAGTTAATAAACACTTTTGCTGACATTTATTTACCCTCTGCTGTTTTAGTTAACTGTCTTGATTGATTTCCTCTGCCTTAGGATTGCAAGTATCGAGGGTCAGGAGAGGGAGAGTGTGGTTTGTCCTCATGGATGAGGTGTAGGGACAGATACCTTCTACAGCCCTCCCTCTGTACAAGAACTCTGAATGAATGAAAACTAATTATTCAACTTAGCAACTGATTGAATGACTAACTGATTAATGACAACTAGGGGTGTAACAATACATGTATTCATATTGAACCGTTCAGTACGATGCTCACGGTTCGGTACGCATTACGAACCGAACAATATGTTTGAGTAATACTATTGCATTTGGAAAATGCAGGCGCTTAAATTGCGGGAAATATAATGGAGCCGCATGGCAACCCACTCAACGTAACAGACAACGTGCTGTCTGACACTCCACCACGTAACATGAATTGTGGCCTATCTTCTATTTGCAATTAATATGCATTCAATCCAGTTCAATTATTTAAATTAAAATGATAATCTACTCTGGCTGAGGTAGTGTCAGAAATCTATGTTGAAAAGCGCTCCTAGCGCTGGATATTATGTATTACAATATGTTTACTTGTAGAAGGTTTAAAGTAAAAGGAGAGTTACTGAATGTATTGTGCACTGCGAGAGAAACCAGAGACCTTATGACACCACCATATAAGGTAATAAATTCTGCAACAGGAACTAAACACAGTCTTCGGAGAGAGGGGGATGTTGCTGAAAAGTGTCTGACAGAAGACCAACAGATCACAGAATAGGAGAAGCAGAACAGGTTACAGCCAATCCCCGGGCTGAGAACTGTGGTGACGAATGTGAAATATGAGACTTTTCAGAGGCTTTTCTGAGACAAAGGACTTTGAATCTACGGAGAAGACCAGATCTGATGTAGCTGGACTGTGGAACGCCAGGCTGTTGTGTAGAACATGTCAGAACTCTATTCCATGGGATATATTTTTGTAATTCATAGTGTGATTCAGTTTGTAACTGCATTTGCTTTTGTTAGATATTAAATACCTTTTGATTTTAACTTGAACCAGCTGCTTCGGGCTTGTTTTGCTGACGGACGAAGGAGCAGAGGGGGGGGGGGGCTTTTTCTTTGATGAGAAATTCTGAACACAACAGTAACTTATCAAGAGTAAAATAATAGCTGTGATCTATACACACCTCTGCATTAGCAACCCGCTGAAATGAAGGTACAGGCACCTTCACCCTCTTATTACTTCAGGGTTCTTGAGAGCAACGTGGGACTGTTGGGACTGTTAGTACACTGGCTGTGGTCATCACAGTGAACAGTGTGAACAGTGTGATGAGAGGGCATGTGAGCCCTTGTTGCTGTAGTTTGTCTCCTTGGAGCAGAGGTTTCATTCAGCATACCCTGCCTTATCGATGTATTTAAAACACTGTGACAGCGGGAAGCTGTACTGCTCTCTCTTCACGTCTGTTTAAACCTCCACCTTTATCCAGGCCCAGCTCCACTCACATCTCAGCCCTGCGTCAAGCTGCGCTACACAATCTGCAACCAGATCCGCCGGTGTTCCGGTTTAACATCAACGAGTGACCGCGTGAACTGAACCGGAACACGGGGAGGTTGCATGTTTCACCACGTTACATTTTTTCCTCCTAAATCGCGATACTGACGAACGTTAACAGTCGATAGAGTTTTGCATGCAGTGGACATTAACTTAACCCAGCAAGTCTGAACGGTAACGGAACATAACGGAACTTAAACTGTAACGGAGGAAAAGACTGTGTAGACATCTTAACGCTGATTGGCCAAGACTCGACACGTCACATCAAAGATGTTTTATTGCGAAGATCAGGACATCACCTTTTCTCCTTGTCTCACTCCAATCGGAGAAACGCTGGCTGGCTCAGCATAAAATATACCATGTGCCGGTGGAGCCTCGGTGAAGCATCTCCTCCATCGTAATAAAATAATAATTTCTGTCTCTTTATCATATAAGTACCCTCTTCTATGCTCTTTCTTATCTTTAGAAATGTAAAATCTATTTATTTTCTTTAAAGAGAAATTAGGGTTTACCTGTAAAACAATTGAACACCAAAAAACCTTGAGATGTGCTGAAGGAATACCACTGAGAATGAGCTGGTAATCAACAACTGTTTGAAATGACATAACACAGTCACAAAGAGCAGTTCTATATGCATAACTATCGTGGATTCAAAATCAAAGTAGTATATGGGGCCTAATCTAGGCACAAGGTATGAAATAAGAGGATCAAGGGTTTCTTAACGAAATATGTTAAAAGGGGTTAATTAGGTTTCCACCTCTCCAATGGCTAAGACACTGGCTATTCAAATACAAAAGAAAATATTGCCTACGTCAGTAGAGATAAACAAACTAAGGCTGCATCCACCTTTACTAGGATTCCATTTTTAAACAGAGTTTTCAAACAAAAACAATCTATTTCCACGCGGACGTTCCAGTACTGTTTCCAAAATGATTTCCGTCCATACGAACACAGTTGAAAACAAATATCACGTGACTTCACGGATCGACAACGGCCCTGAACATCACAGGTATTAACTGTTGAAAAAGTAACCATGTGAAGTAAAATTGAAAATTGTAAAAGACACATCGAGAATCATTGTGCATTTGTTTAGTTGACAGGTGAATCATGATTGAATCGAACCGTGAGGCCGGTGAAGATTCACAACTTCAGTCAAAACTTAAAATTACTTCAGGAAAAACTGGATGCTAAGGGTTAGGTTAACAATCCAACAGAATGTGTTCTTCACCTACTTCTATGTCAGTCTAAAATGTTTTAAGACATGGAATATGGAACTGTGTTGGCTTCATAAAGCTGTTAAAGTGATGGCGTTTCTCCTTTTTTGGGCGATTTTCTTTTTAAGTTACAGAGTTAAGCTATTTGGTTTCTTTGAGATATGGGCACACTTAAATTAAATCTGAAAATCAGCACTTTACCTTCATAGACAATGTTTCATTTCCAATCCAATGAGTTGGCATACAGAAGAAACACAACAACATCTGTAAAAGTCCAAATACCTAATGCTGCATTGAGGTAAACGAGTTGATGTATACATACCTTCCCAGAACTTCCCCGATCTCATAGAAGTCTTCGACATTTTCAGGCTTGAAGACCGCCATCTTGCTTTGCTTCACTCCTGTTAGTCCAACTTCAAGTGGTTCATGGTCCTCCAAACATACACCAAAGTTGGACCTGATGAGTAACAGTAACATGCCAGTAAGTGCAAATTAACACACACTATGTGCTCTTCTCTAAACAAATCTACATTTAACAACAAAAACAAACAAAGACTTTGTTTCTTTAAAATCTTAAATGATTAGCTCACAGTTTTTTTTTCCTAATAATGGGTGTCCAAGTCCTTTTCTTTCTTCTTCTTTTTTAAATGTTTGAAAGGACTTTAGTTTGAAATATACTGGTTTAATCACAAAATATAAAAAACAAAGTTGCATGAAGATACAGTTGATAAAGTGCAACTCTATTGGCTGTGTAAACTTTGATCATCGATCATTGATTATACTGCATGAATTTTTTGCATGACTTGTCCTCTGATCATGTCAGGACATAATGACTGTACGCTAAGAGATCGGACATGGCTCACATTGGGATCCAATCAGACCACATGTCGAGGTGGCCTGGCTCTCATTGACTTCAGAGCACTCAAAGCGCTTTAATACGACTTGTCATCATTCACCCATTCACACACTGATGGCAGAGGCTACCATGCAAGGTGCAACCTGCACATCAGGACTCTAACTAACATTAATACTGTAGGCACAGCAATTTGGGCTTCAGTGTTTGTTTGTTGCCTTTAGGTTTAGTATGCTTATAGTTGTAGAATGCATGTTTGTTGATTTATATTATTGATATCTGATCAATAATATAAAATATTGTAATGTTAAAGATAAATGAACTGTTATATTTAAAGGAGCAGTTTCTGTGATTATTTTGTGCATGTGTTGTGATAATAGCTTGTTGTTATAGTCAGTGCTCAAATTCATCCTGCCACAGGCCACTCTGAATGTAGAATAGTATTTTGACTATTGACATTGTGAGTCATTTTAATTATTGTTATAATTGTATTAATAATACCAATCATTATTTCTTTCATACTTGCCAATAACCAAATCCGCTCCTTCCAGATACCAACACACACAAATGTAGACACAGCTATGTTCAAATGGTGCATTGTATCACATAAATTGCATTGAAAAGACAAGTGTAACCATGGCCATTCTTTACCAAGACTATATAAGATATCAGTTTCATGAAAGCCTCTCTGTGGAATAGAAAGGTCCCTGGATGACATCATCAGCTTCTACAGAAGCCCAGATCACATGTAGCTGTAGTGCTTCCTAATTTACACTTCTTCTTTTGGGCTGTGAACCTGAGGGTTTTTAACATTGACTGCAATACCACGAGACAATAAATCAACCCCTTACTTAACTAAAGATGGAGACTCTTTCCTCGAACTCTGTCCTGCCCACTGCCCTATCACTAGCTCTTTATCTCCTATTGTATACTTTTACATTCTTTGAAAATTGTCCCAAAAAAAAGTTATATTCTAGTCATCACCTAGTATATGCCAATAGGAGTTTTGACCTTGTACCTTTTCCTCAATTACCCTCACTCTCTGATGACACGTGACTTGGTTCTTACATTACAGCACTCACACACATCAGCTTTGTGAAACTAACTTCCCTCAGTTCTTCTCACTTCCCTTTATGATACAGTATTAAAGAACCCAGCATCAAGCTGTGCATTATAACCAACTAAAGTTCTTTGGCCGATTCCAATTTTTGTTTTTTTTAAAGTTTGATTTTCTTGCCAAGGACTTGACACAAAGATTCAAAAAACTATTTCAACCATCCCGAAGTCAGTGTAAACCACAATACTGATTCTAATGGAAAATCGATCAAAATGAGCTTTCAATATCCTCCTACTTCCCTGATGTCTCTGGTGTGGCATTATTTTTGCCTTCTCCATGAGTTATGTAAACAACAAATGCATCATTGACAGAAAAGCTACTGTTTAGTTTAGGGGTCAGGCTGCAGAAGATTTAGAAATTCAGATGTAACTCATAAACTCTGAGTAATTTAAGCTAGTGTAGTGAAGTACCCTCCTGCCATCTAGTGGATCGTCTTTGTTCATGTTGTGAAACAGTTTGTTCCCGATTGACTGGTGAAATAAGTTGTCATTACATATTTAATTACATTTACATTTGACCATAGAGTGTGGTATATTCAAAACAATATTACGCTTGATACCATGCAGCTTCTCTTTTTTTAAAAATAATTTGAAAATGTAAATGAGAGTCATGGCAAAAAAACAACAATCTGTTGATTTTAATGAATCAAGACTCCATCATTTAACAATGGCATACCCGTCAGTGCTGCAAAAGAATGTTTAAATCCAAAACCAAATCGTGACCTTGTAACCGAAAGTCAAATCAAATTGTGACACCCTGTAAACTGGCAAAGACTCGAATTGTTATCCCTTAACTTTAAATGTCACCTATGGTGGTTATTTGCATAAACATCACGGTTTTATGTTTTTCACTATTATTAACTGAATATTTCTAATAGGCCTAAAACTAATGAACTAAATATTTATTCTAATCATCAACTATATCCTTATACTTTGCTATTTGTCATCTGGAGTGGTTATTTGCATAAAACACACAATTCAAATGATTCTGACTCAGGACTCACGTCACTAGCAAGTTACTAAGGACTCCTAACTAGTTAGTGTCAAATGAGTCACATGTCTAGCATGTTACTATGGACTCATGTCACTAACAAGTTACTAAGGTCTCATGACACGAGCAAGTGACTAACCAGTCACGTGACTAGCAAGTGACAAATGAGTCATAAACTTCACTCAAAAATGTTATTTATTTTAGTGACAATTTACATTAGTTTCCAGTGAGATATGAATGACTATATATAGTGACTTTGCTGTTGTAAACATAACTGTTGTTGCTCTAGAAACAATATCCAAATTAGAAATAACGTCCAATTCTGTTCTGATTTTATTTGTTTTTAAAATCTTGCATATCTTTTTAAAAACAAATATTTTGTCATGTAGAAGTAGCCCCTAGTTGTACTAAAATCCTAAATATACCTTAGAAAGGGAGGGGCTGAGGTGAGGGGTATTTAGTAGGTTGCATGCATATACAATGTCCTCTCCACACAGAGCACATTAAACAGCCCTGAAGTATCTCATAGGCCTCCTCCGACCATCTCATCACTGTCCTGTGGTTGCAGGCTGACTTTTCACTGGAGCACGGGGGTTTTACCAGGTTGAGGTCTGACATTTGGGGGGGGGTATGCGATCACTATGAGGGCACTCGGGTGTTGAGTCTGGAGTCGAGCTATGGCAGTGTGAATGACTATGCGCTGATATCGAGTTAGCAGAGGAGGGAGTGTAATGTGGCAAATAATAAGGCCGGAGTCCCACGGCAAAACGTTCCATGTCCGGGCAACAAATAAGTTCCTTGATCGTAATGTCAGCAGGACTGTTGCACTGCTGTTTTTTAACTAGAACAGCAAGTCCCCGCCTTTACGCTTACCGCTCTCGCTACGATCACTGTCAGCCCAAATAGGCTGAAAGCCATCGGGATCGGGTCTATCCTGATGCAACCACGTTTTCAGTAAAGCACATTATACCACACTCCCAGAACTGTTAGTTCATCCATAGCAGGAGCAACTGCAACAGAATGCATGTACACTAAAATGACGACATGTGTGTGGGTGTCTGCTCGAAATCTGGGCATTGTGATTGAACCAACTAACTTTCACTGAGCATGTTGCATCTATCACTTGGCAGTGTTGCTTATTTAACATCAGAAAGATGAGGTCTTATCTGATTGAATATGCCACTTGTAAAGGCACTGGTTCCCTGTGGCTGAAGACTAGAAAAGCGCTATACAAGTACAAGTCTATTTACCATTTACACATTTCTCTTGTAGAGATCAAGGGAAATGCTACAGAATGATGATATCAAACAAGAAGAGCCTGCATACTGAATAAAGACCTGAAAACCTCACAAGGGACCATGTGATGCAATTCTGCAGGTGATGCTGTTTGTTATAAGGCAGAAGACATTGATCTGTTTCTAGAAATGTACTTTGAAGAAAGATGAAAGTACTATAATGCACTTTGCATCTTTGATTTTAAAAGTGCTGTATAAACAAAGTCTATTCTTTTTATTATTATCATTATTATCAGGATAATAGACTGAGATGTATTATTGTTAAAGCAATAATCAGCCCTGAATTCATCATCTTATAGTCTACTTCAGTTCTAAAAACATATGCAACGAAGAATTGTTTGCTGTAAAAGAACTTCGTTTAGATTTAGTGGAACATTTCTTGCTGATGTCTGTTGTAGTAGTCCAAGAGGGTTCAAGGTTCTGACTCAGACCAGCTGAGACTGGAGCCATGATAGTAGGAAGACGCTGCTGAGATACACTGTCCAGTTAATCTGCCTGAATGCCAGTACAGTTCCAAAAGTGTGCACAAAGTATCATGAGTCTTATTATTATTATATATATATGTATATTTAACATAGCACATCTTTTCACAAGGCACAGACATGGACTCATCATCTTACCACTAGAAGAGCTGTGCCTGCTGGATCTACTCCTGTCAAATCGTGTTGAAAATGATTACAAGTCTGTGATCAGTTCAAATGTAGACAAGTTTAGTCAGATGATTCCCAGTATTGCCTTTGCATTCAGAAATGTCCACATCAGTGGACAGAGAATGGCTAATCAGGGTAGACCGGGTCCTCTGTGATCTTTATAAAGCGAAGGTTTTATTTTCTATTGCAAAAATAGGTCAAAAAGATAGGGATGAAAGAGGAGTGGTCACCACCAAAATCAAAATATGGTTTATGGATTTATGTTTTTTTGTTAACTTACTTCTCATACAATACTCGTTTTATACAATATATCTCTGTGAAATAGGCCTTAGCTTTCCTAATACAATGTGCATTAGACTTCATTATCAGGTCTGCACCGGCCAGTCGCCTACATTAGTCATCTCTACCTGTGGGACTAGTTTATGTAATCCTGCAGTTTTTACTGAGTGCAATAGCCACTTTATAATCTCACAAGTGCGACAGTTCAAATTGAAAGCTGCTGCGTGGATTTCAGACTGTGTACGTACGGAACATGAACCGGGAACACAGTTTTCTCTCTGCCATCGACATAGACATGGAAGTAGTCTTTGCAACAGAACTAGGTTACGTACCCAGTGTGACTGCTCGGCTTCTAGGTCGTCTATCCCATCGATCAGACCAGGCTCTGCTCCCGAGAGATGTCGATGTCCTCGATGTGCGTGCGGCGCTGTGCTCTCGGCCCTGCGGGGCACTGGCGGTTGAGGAATGCGGATGTCCTGTCCAAATACGAATTTAGCGACCTGAGGGGTCCACGGCACCTCCTACCGGTTACACGTTCAACCACCTGCCTTTCATTTTAGTCTTCATGTTGAGAAGGACGAGACAAACTGAGATGTTCTAATGTACAGTCTGTGGATACATTGCTCCCAGAGCTGCTACGTAATAAAAGCACTGCAGAGAGCCTTCAAAATAAAAGCGGAGAACGTTTTAATTAGAAACAGAGACAGTGCTTTGTTTTTGTGTTATTCGCTAGTTCGACAAAAGCCTTCTGACGTTGCATTTGTACAGTTATACAGGAAAAGGTCCAAAAATAAAGGTGCTATTGATAACATTGATAAGGTTCAGCCACATCCAGTGTGCATATTTATTTACAGTACAGCTTTGTATAGGACAACCTGGGATCTTTCCCTTATTGTTTTACACTTTAAGGTCATTTATAGAAGAACAGCATCTTGGGATGCCGGATGTTTGAAATAAGTGAGGGAACTGGTCTGATACCAAGTTGTAACAGGTGTCTGGTTCCACACCTGAATCACCACATATCCATCAGCCAAGATACATTTTGGTTGTGTTTGCCTAAACACATAGACATTTTCATTGACTGTATCTTGACCCATTTCTCAGTCACCCTGAACAAATTATGAATATCAGATTGTGTAAATTGCCACTGATTCCAAACACAGAAATACATGAATTGTTCAACCTTTTATCTAACCAAGTTTAATGACAGTTGTCTAATGAGTGTCAACTGAACAACAGCAGCTAACTTGAACTACCACAGTTAGTCTGGAGAGAAAATGATGACACTCCTCGGTCACTGAATCAGACACCTATTAATTCATGCATGTCCATAGATGTTCATTTGTCTGGAATTAAATGTCCAGTGAGTAGAATTTAGTGGTATCAAGTAGAACGGACTTGGCGGAAATGCAATTGAATATTCATAAACAGCCTGTGTTTTAAATAGTGTATAATCCCACTAAAACACCAATAATGTGTTTTCATTAGTTTAGAATGAGCCCTTTATCTCTTCATGGTTCATCTTCACAGAGTCCGCCATGTTGCACTGCCATGTCTCTACAGTAACCCAGAAAGGACAAACCAAACACTGGCTCTAGATAGAGAGTTCTGTGTCTTTATTGCAGCCACCGTAGGTTCTCCTACACACTTGAAAGGGGAAGGGTGACATTTTTTAGACTTGCCTCTCTGTCCTATGTCCTCACCTCACCAACCTCTTCATTTCCTCACTGTCCCATGGAATTGTCCCTTCTGCCTTCAAAAATGCTTCTGTCACCCCAATCCTCAAAAAAACTGGTATTGATCCATTCTGCCTCAACCACCACTAGCTAATCTCCAGCCTTCCCTCCCTCTTAAAAAACATTGTCTCCAAACCCACCTGCACTCCAATACCCTATTTGTACCCCTACAGTCCATTTTTTGCCCATTCCACAACACAGAAACTGCACATCTGAAAGTTTTTAATGACCTCCTCATCTCTGCTGGCACCGGAGCCCTTAACATTCGCATGCTTCTTGACCTGAGTGCAGCTTTCAATATCGTCAACCACAACATCCTGTTCTCCAGGCTTGAAGGCATTACACTTAGCTGGCTCCAGTCCCACCTAACCAATAGATCACACTACACTACACTACAATAGATCTCCCTCTACGCAACCACTCCTCTGTCTCATCCACAGTCACACAAAGTGCTGTCCATGATTCTGTACTCGGCCCATCCCTCTTCATCATCTACATCATCCCTTTTAATCAGATTGTGGACTGGATTTCCACTGCAATAGGATTGAAACACCCAGATATTCCTCAGCACCAAAACCACACCCCAACCCACCCCTCTGCCACATTGACTCCTGCCTTTCTGCAATAAAAGCCTGGATGCAACATAAAAATATCAAACTCAACAGCGACAAAACAGAATCTTTCCTCTTCGCCTGCAACTTCACCCTCAGCAAAATCAACAGCTCCATACATTGATGATACCAATGTCTTCCTTTCCTCCCATGCACGCAACCTTGACGTGTATTTATACACTGGATGACATCAGCAGTGATGTCATGGGGTCGGACCAGACCATGTATTTTGGTTAGTTGTGAACTGTTGTGCTTTGTTGAGAGTCGATAGCAAATTGTAAAATATCTAAAAGTGTTTAGTACTACCTAAAGGTGTGCAGTAAGCTATAGCTTTTGTCCCTTAACCATTTGAGGAAGTAATTGGTGTCACCTGCACTCATGTGAACTAGATCCTGCTGATGAAGGCTCTATATAAGCAGATGACTGACTGTTACGTGGGGGAAGAAAGGAACATCAGTGTGTAGCTGTGTGCACCTGATATGTTAATCTAAGTTACTTTATGAGTTGAGTTTTATTCAGTTAAGCTTCAGGTAACCGTTTGTTTGTACATGTGTTTGGGCCACTTTTGTAAATAAAACACTTTGTTTTCTGGATAGTTTCTCATGTCTGCCTCCGACCACTTTCCAAGCCACTCCGGTCAAACTTCACCACAATCATCCTCAACTATTTACTTTGACTTTATTAGTCATCAATAGTGGTTATTTGCCATAAAACACACAATTCAAATGATTAGGAAATAAAAGATTTTGTCAGTAGTAGTTGTAATGATGCTTACGTATATAAACTGCTTAGTATTAGTGTTAGGAAGTTAAACTGGTCATAATTCATCTCTAATCTATTTTATATCACTGTGAAAACATCTCCTTCAAACAACTGAATTTATCTAAGTTTCTCAGCAAAACCACATTTTACAAGATTACATTTGAACACATCATGATAACGTTATAGTTTAATTTAGTCCAAAACTCATTTTTAGTGAGTGGAGCTTGAACACAACATAATCTAGTTTAATGGAACCTGCATACCAGAGCCATACAGCTCTGCTCTGCACTTCAACGTCTGTTAGCTGCAAACGTTACTAGTTCTCCTCCTGCCGATTTAAACACATTTGTTCTTCACAATGTAACGTCATTATAAGTCTAGCAACTAGAAAGCCAATGCCAATCTCCAAATCACATATTTTTACTTAATCAAGGCCGATGACAACCAGCAGTAAAACTCGCTTTTTACTCTATGATGGTTAAACTGTTCACACGACTCCCTGGTCATTTTCTATCCAAAATGCTCTCTCACTGCTGATTTAAGGCTCATTATGGCAGACATAAGGCTGGAGAGTTGGTTCCCTCTCAAATGTTTCCAGCTGCTCTTGTTAAAGCTTCAGGTGAGTGGCACAACTCAAACAAACCAGCACACAGGTGTGACGTGACTCGCGCAAAAGAAGATTTTACCTCACACAAAAAACTGTGTCTCACGAGACTCGTTCTCACAGGGCAACAATGCAGGAATCAGGACAACATAGAAACATCCAATACAGGTCATTTTATCTCACTGGGTAAGACACTACAGTGACTGTTAGGGTGTAGTGCCACAGCTGTCTGCTCATTCTAAAGACAGGGGCTCCATGAGGGAGCTGATGTCCACTCTGTACGCTAGAGGCCTGTGCAGAGCCTTCAGCTTCAGACAGCCTAGTGGCTAGCTGAGCTCCCCGAGTGTCCTCAGCCACTTGAAGATTTACATTCGGCCTGAACATGACATAGAACCCTGAAGGGCTGAAGTAATGTCTCATACACACAATGCTGCCTTATTTGTTAACAGCAGATTTCTCTCCACTACGCTGGATGGTGTTGATTTGATTCAAATGACAAACTCCATGCTTACACAGAAACTTAAAATCACTTTTTGTTTGGTTCCATGTAAATGTTACAAAACTGAAAAACTGAAATCAACCAGACACAGATTTAGAAAAACCCTTTAATTTATCTTCAAGTTCAACAACTGGCTAGAAACTTCAAATCAGCATTCAGTTCCATATGTACACAATTACAAAATTCAGTTACAGTAGTAATAGCCATTGTAATTGTTCTGTCTCATGAACCCATGAACCCAAAAGTGAAGAAATGGCCAGCAGCTGTAGATGAGAACAGAGAGAGGTCACGTTCATGCACACTGGAACGGTTCACCTTACTTTAGCTGTTGTCCTACTGATCCAAAGTTCTCTTGATCACAATCAAGTTCCTTGGTCACCGCACTCTTTTGACTTTCAACCCCAATATGGGTTATTAAGCTATTCAGAGACCCCCCCCCCCTTAAATGGTGCCTACTCAGTTCTTCTTGGCCTTCGGTGAGTCGTACTTCCTCTTGCTGGAGTACCAGAGGAGCAGAGGGATGCCGATGGAGGGCAGAGTCATCACCCCGAACGCAGCCCAGTCCAGCTAGAAAAGGGGAGACGTGGGAAGGTGGGTGAGGAGTCCGATCATTTCTATTAATAATCTGCTCAGTGGAAGGAAGAGGAAAATCACACTTTCATGCTCTAATGTTTCTGGAGAGGTGTAGATTCAACTGTGAGGTCATCTTGGAGGCTGTTAAATAATGTTGCACCATACTGACAGCTGTTGTTAATATGATGTCCAACCTATTCATATCCACGAGTGTAGAGTACAAAACAGAAACACCTCTCAGTAGAACAATACCGCTCAATCAGACTGAATGCAGACTGCATTAGTGTTACCTAGATGTACCTAATAAACTAGTTTATTAACAGAGAATGACGTGCTCCACTCAGATGGAATAATAATCCACTACTGACATGATTCACATCACAGAACTGGTGTACAGTACAATTAAGGGATTTACTAGGCATCCAATAAATAGAATCAACTCAATTTCATGCTAAAATAAAAAGACAAAATGTGTTGATAGTGGTCCTATGTTATGTCAACTAATGAATCAAAAGTCCCATCAACCCGGAACTCCCATCCCCTCAGTTAGCAGCCTGATTCACTTACATAGTGTGGGGAGAAGCGGCGGTCGAACTCCCGCTGAGCCAGGATTCCTCCCTGGCCGGGGGCGCTGGTGTAGCCCACCTGCAGGATGGACAGACACTTGAGTTTCCTTCACTACACTACACACTTTAACTGCTTTGATCCAGGAAGATTAGCAACTGCTTTTACCACGACTTGTCCTCCCTCCTGGGCCAGGTAGCTGACGGAGGCAGAGGTGAAGTTAAAGTAACCAGCCTTCAGGGGGCGCAGCACCACTGTGTGAGAGACGTTGCTTGCTCTGAAGAGTTCAGGAGTTAAATCAGAAAACTTGAAAAAGATGGGAAATGTTAATGGACTGTACTTGTACTGCGCTTTTCTAGTATTCCGACCACTCAAAGCGCTTTAACACTACATGACATCATTCACCCATTCATATTCTGATGACATGCTAGGAGCCACCTGCTCATCAGGACTATCCAACCATTCACACCCGATTTGGAGTCAAGTGTCTTGCCCAAGGACACATGGACTAGCGGAGCCCCTTCTGATTGAAGGACGACCCTGCTCTACTACTGAGCCACAGTCGCCAAGGATGAGTCACTTTTACATAAACAAAAAAAACATAGTAACCTCTTTAGATTTGTAGAAGTTTGATCAGAGAGATGATTGACATTTGGGGCAGTAGATGTCTGTGAACATAATAGACAGAGTATATCGATCAGGATGATTAGAAGCATATCCTCCATATCTGAGCCCTACAGAAAATATGGAGGTAATATTTTGATATTATGTAGCCTCTATTTAAGACATGTCAGGGCAGGACACCAGTGATCTGCTAATCTCTACCAACATGGCAGAATAACTTTAAATGGAATGGAGAGAACTTGATTGGGCTAACGTTAGCGGCTCTTTAGCAGAAGTTTTAAGGCTGAAGTGTCCAGACTTCTGGTTGCTGGGAAATGCAACTCTGTTTGAGATGCTGGAATAAAATAGAACTTTTGGTTGTCTTTTTGTGGCAACAAACTCCTCATTCTTATTAGCACATGTTGCCATGTTGATATTTGACCTTTGTCTGAAGAGAACTCACATGTTTAGCAGTAACTGTGGGAGCTCAGGGAAGAGGTTTATGTGAAAATCCATTTTCAAACATTGTCCTAAAGCAGGGTTCTTATGTATTTATGACCCAGCTCTAAATGGAATCTCATCCCGATTATTAGACTGAATCCGTGTCAGTGTGGAGCCCTCAGTTACAGGTTTGTTAATCTGACATTACCCACTTCACCCTACAACACCAACATTACAGCACATTTAGGTTCAAGGATACGGTGCAATCCTGTCCCATTTGACATTCAACATTCCTGAAACGATTCCAAAGTCTTCAGGGGGAAAAGAATCATCGGACAGCTCCACCTCCAGCGCAGCACTGTAGAGACAAAGAGGACACTCAGTTAAGTGCAATACAATACAATCACAAAATGTATCCGTGGATCCAATGTTTACCGTAAATTAAATACCCAACTTACCATTATTGCGATATAGTGACAAGCATAATCTTTCCGTTTATATTGGTTTATTGTACAAGATCACTCACAATATAGCAGCACAGCCTCAGAGAGTGTCTAACAGCATGTAGATGGGAAATGGACTGCACTTATATAGCACTATAGAGCTGCTGAACAAGAGTTTCCACTGCAGGGGACTCATGTTAAAGTTGTACAACATTTGGGCTAAACGGCCTCTGGATCAGGAATTCTTCACCACTGAGGTGACAGTCAGGGTCTGCAGTCACTGAATGTGTCTGGTGCTGATGTATTGCTGATAGTGTGCTCCTCTGTTGTTTCGTCATTGTTTTTCCTCTTGAAGTGGAAGGTTTTGATATAACTGATCTTTAACGTATGTAACCTGTGCAGCTCTTGTGGCCTCCGCTCAGAGACTACAGATGAAAAATAGCGTTTAGTGATATTGGTTAATAATTGTGAATACCATGAAACCACGATATGTCCTCTGACAATAATCGTGATATCAAAATTTCATATGGTGACATCCCTAATTGTAAATGCAAATAAAACTTTTCGGTAACAGTTGCTTTTTCAGTCCACAAGATGGTGCCGAGTTCTTCCTGGTGTGGTCATGGATAAAGTCAGCAGGATTGGACTATGCAGACCAGGGGTAGTCAATTAATATTCAACGAGGTCCAGTTAGAGAGAATTTCCTCATGCAAAGGTCCGGAACATCACAATAATGTCTAACTTGTGCTGTGATGTAGTCCCATATACATAAAGTAGCCAACAGTTGTATTAACGTCTGTATGTCGTCAACAACTGACTCTCAAATCAAATAAAGAAAGTTCAATTGAATAATATCTAAACAATATTTATCGTCAGATTTTGAATTGGACAAATTATAAATAATACAGACTCTAAAAATAAATAGATGTTCTTCTCTCATTTCAAGTAAAATAAGGGCTGGATTTAAAAAAATAAATACATAACAGAAAGCTATTAAAAATGTGACTCTTTAAAAATGAATAATTGACCTGAATTGTCCTGCAGCTTTAATTAACGATACTTCAATCATATGATATCATCACGATACGTCAGTCATGAGTCCAGGAAGCACACCAACCAATTACATGCGTTGTGAACCAGCTCACGTGACGCTAGCCGGCCAATCAAATATGTGTATTCTGGTAAGCATTGCCCTCGACTCGAGTGCGAAATACGCACGCGCACGCACACACACACACACGGGGAGAGAGACCCAACAGTTGGAGAAGTATGCAAGTCAGAGAACTTATTTCACATGACCTGCTCCAAAAAGAGAAATGTGGACATCTTAACCAGAACCTTTAACTAAACTAACTCTTATATGTCCATTCTTCACACAGATAGTTTAAAACCAGTACGTCTCATGTGTTCAGTTTAAAACCAGTACGTCTCATGTGTTCAGTTTAAAACCAGTACGTCTCATGTGTTCAGTTTAAAACCAGTACGTCTCATGTGTTCAGAGACCGTGGCAATTATTAAAAGAGGTAATGTGAAGCGTCACTACGAGACAAAACCAATTTTTTGGTCAAACGTACCCACTCACATCTGAAATGAAGTCACAGATAATAAACAACCTAAGAGCCCAGTATGATCAGAATCCTAACATGTTAATTCATGTCCAACAATGATGTTAACAGAGGGAATAGAGCTGAAACAAGTGGTTTAATAACCACAGATAAAGTCCCTGCACACAAATTTTCTCTTTTTCAGAAGATAAGAATATAATATCGTGGCTTTTCCGATTGACATCACTTCACACCTGAATGAACTGAATTTTAAGCTGCAGGGCAATTCAGTGAAATCATTTTTTCTAAAATTAAGTACTTTATTTTAAGAGTAACATTTTTCAAAGGCTTTCCGTTGTGCATGTTATTGTTTAATCTAGCACATTTATTTATTATTAGATTATGATTTATTTATAATTCATCCAGTTCAATTTGAAATCTGACAAATATTGTTGAGATATTATTCAATTGAACTTTCTTTATTTGATTTGACAGTCAGTTGTTGACTACTTTACTATATATGGGACTAAATCATAGCATGAGGAAATTGTCTTTAACTGGACCTCGCTGTATTTTAATAGAATACTCCTGGTATAGTGTATATTTATGCATCTATTATGGCCTGTTATAGCTGGCTAATTAAAACCATTTCATGAATCACACTGTTTGGAGTTTTTAGTTTGTCGATTTCATGTTATAGTGTTGAATTTCTATGAAAAGTGTATTAAAATATATCCAATCAAGTAGAACTCTTCGTGGATCCATCAGAGGAGGTTGACAGCTCACAGGCCGTTCTGAACGACAGCTTTGTAGGAGAGTGCTCAGTGCTGACCTGGAGCCCACGTTGTAGACGTTGTACTGCAGGGTTAGGTCACGGCCCTCCACAGCATAGCGGTTCAGCAGGGACTTAGAGGCCAGCAGACGAGCTCCCTCTTCTCCTGAGCCCAGGCCCATCAGAGCCAGGACCACACACACGTGCAGCATCTTCATCATCTGCTGAGAAAACAGGCAGAGATCAAACAACTCAAATAGGACTAACGTTCAGAGAGACGGGGTTTAAGGTTTAAGTATGAGGACTCCAGAGTTCTCATGTCCACATACATGTTGCTATGTAGAGACGAAGGCTCCCTTTGAACACGGACTAACGTAGCCAGCAGGAAAACCAACTAGCATGCGCTTATGGAATACAACACGACAAATGGAATGTCTTTAAACATGTTTCTGGCTAACAGTTAGCTAAAGCCCAACCATTTCATCAAAGCTAGTTTTACAAACAACACGGCGCTTCTGTTCAAAAAGTTGAGAGCATTAGTGTTATAGATTATGTAAAAATATAAAGATTGAAGCTCGTCTTCAAATCAGAGTGCTGAACACTAACGTTTGACGTTCCTGTTCCACACGCTTACGTGGACAACAAGAGACATATGTGACGTTAACGCTAGCTTCCAGGGACAGAGTTAGCGTTACACTACAGAACAGCACTCTTTGTCTACGTTTACATTACGTTATGTAAACTAAAATCATATTTTAGATATGATTTTAAAATGTCAGTTAGTATAGCTAAAAGAAAGAAGAGGAACAGACCTTCACCGTCCTGTGCTTCTCTTCGAGTCGCAGTTATTGAAGGAGGAGCTGGAGATGCGCATGCTCAGAACCTTAACGCTGCTGTTTGCATGACGTGTACCGAGAGGGAACTAAGGAGGGCAGCGGACCGCGCAGCGCCCCTGGTGCCTAGGAGCGGTCTTGTTTCCTCTGACTGAAGGGGGAATCATTCAATGTACAGTACACCAGACGTGTACTGTATTGTTACCATAGATTGTCACAAATGCTCGCTACTTCTAACTAGGCAAATAATCTGTATGCTTGCACCTGTTTTACAATCTGAGGTGTGTCGATTGTAATTGGGCAGGAGTGTGTTACTCGGACTGAATCAGAATCAGAATCAGAATCAGCTTTTTTAAGTTGATTCTGGAGCAATTTGCAGGAGCAATTTGTCTCCGGTTTCCACTCCGCTCTCAATGTACAAACACTATTTTACAATAAACAATAAAAAATATATAAGAATAAAAAAGGGCAGCAAAAAAGTAGAACAGATGTAGGTATAAACATTTAACAGCTATATACAATATAAGTATGAATATATATCCCCCCAAAAAGTGTATATATATATATATATATATATATATATTAGTGCTGGGTACCACGTCCATAATCAAATTCAATGGTTCTAAACCTTTCTTTCCTACTTTTAAGAATGAACTGAATGAATATGTGGATGCCATAACATATTCGAAGTACTCTAAAGCTATGAGGACTGTGTTACATCCATAACCTTCGTGACCTCACAAGCTGATTGTGGAGCTATGATTGGGACTTCTGTATAAAAGAGTCTTGTTGCCCTTGTTTATGTGCCTGTACGCCTGGGCTTCCTATTGTTCATGTGGTTTCTTATGTGTCTTTGTGTGTCATTATGTATTGTGTATGATATTTCCTTTAATAAAGTGTTTTAAAAACAAAATCTGTCTGTATTCTGAGTAGTATTGACAAATCACGTTGGAGCAGGCTTTGGTTGAACAGAGTCCTGTACAAAGCAGGATTTGGGCTTAGCGAGGTAACTTCAGGGTTATCTCTGGGTTTTATTATTTATATATACTTATATATATTTATAGTCAGATCTATCATGGTCTATATATCATAGCCTGATTGATACAACATTGTAATACTAAAAACAGAGAGAAAAGGGATTTTGTTTATGGCTGTTGACAGTATTTTGTGATTCATGGAGTTATACAAAAAGATATCCATGCAAAGTAGCACATATTTATAAGATGATTCCTAATTTGCATATTTAAACATTACATTTCATAAAACTTGTAATACAAATAATAATTGTCTTAATTAAGTAATCAAGTGGGGAAGATTAATGGTGATATCTACAAGTTAAATTGTTGACTCTCTTCACCTGCCTCCCGTTCAATCAGCAGCGTGACAGCAAGAGCAGCCTTCTCACCCATGAAATAAATAGTCCTGCAGATTCATCTCCTAATTACCAAAATCTATCGTCTAGGACAGTGGTTCTCAAACTTTTTCTGTCACGCCCCACTTTGGAGGAAGAAAAAATTTTCATGCCCCACCGCCCCAACAAAATTGTAACAAAATGGTCCATGTTGAATTTTTTTTAAATAACATTTTGTGACTCCGTCTCTGCTTTTTCAAATAATAGAATAAAGAAAATTGGAATCACTTTTAAGTAAACCAGATTACCGTGGAGCATTTTGACGTGTACTACGGAGCAGTTTACAATACAGCTGGTTTCCGAGACAAATCTTTGTAGCGCTGCAAATTAATGAGGCAGATGTTTGTGATGTTGTCATGAGGGGGCGTCGTTAGGCCTATTTCAGGCCTAACGACATTTTAGGCCTAAAATGTTCTTCAGCCCCCCCAAATAATTTGGCATTATTGGCTTTAAAAAAAAAAATCTTTTTTTTTTTGGTGATGTCATTAAATTAAACTATTGTTTCTCACATGGACAAGTTATTTATAACTCTAATATGCTACATATGTGCGTGCGTTCTGGTTTGTATGTTTTCTCCCCCTTCAAATTACAATCCAATAGCCTATCATCATACTTAACGATATAAAGTTGACACTGTCAGGTCCATTCTCCATCCATTGTGTGCGGTCCCTTTAAGAATTAGGATTTGGGAGTGACGCGGATATGAAAGCTAGTTTATCCGTCTTTCCTTTACAAGTAGGAAAATTATTTCTCTCTCTTTATTTGAGAAAAGTTCATATTTGTGTTGTCAAATTTCACTATGACCCTGAAATTCTGTCTCTTGTGTTATCATATACTGAATGCAAGCAAAACTACAGAGCAAAATCACACTCTTTCTGATTGAACCAATCTATGAACTGTCTGAAACAATGGATATCCACGGCCCCAAATGGGCCCCAAAAAAAATTGTCATGTGCGCAAACATGCCTCTCCCCTTGGGGCTAAGCCCCCCCCCTTTCTTTCAATCCTAGAAACGCCCCTGGTGTAGCACCCCGACACTCTATAGAGAGTAGACCTACACTGGAATGATGGTGTGTTTGGGTTCTGAACTCCTCAGGTAGTTACCAAGAAGGTTTACCTGATTTTGGTGAATTTATATTACCCCACCGAATAACAAAGAAACTATCAAACTTAGCAATAATTAAATAACTGACCACAGACAACTCATTAGGATGAAAAAATGAATAAAAGCTTTTGTAAATGTTCAAATAATAATTACCCTTTCGGGGGACAAGAAAACAAAACAATAACACCTTACAGCATACTAAGGGTATGACAGAATACTCAAATTGACTTTAAAACACTCATGGGCCCACACACACACCCACTTACATACAATAAGAAAACGTTGCAGGCCAGTGTAGCTCGGGTGTGGTGCTGCCTCTCGAATCCTTGTCCTCAGCAGAAACAGTTACACAGCAAATCCAAAATCACCATTCAATGTCAGTCCTTGAGAAAAACAGTATGTCGTCCAAAAAACCACGCCGACAGCGGAGGTGACGGCCACGGCGGTGAAATCCTCACCAGGAACACACCAACAGTCTGTCTCGGTCCGCAATCGCGTCCTCAGGTCCAGTGACTCAGCAACTTGTTTACAAAGCAAAACTTTTACAAACTCTCCGAAAACTCTACTGAGATTAACAAACGAGGTACCGTACTGTCTAAACAGCTAAACAGTTTAAAACAAAACTATCTAAACCAGTGGCGGCTGGTGGAAGATTTTCTTGGTATGCTGTGCCACATCCAATCAATTTCAGCAAACATCCCAGAATGATTTAATGCCAAAAAATGAAGGTATCAAACACGCATTACTACTTTTCAGTTAAATATTTAACATGTATTCCAACACGAAAAAAAGCAGTAGATAACACTTTAACAAACACGTCAGGACATCTTATTTTTGTCAATCTCACAGGCAATTCAGTATA